TCATTTAAACGGCAGGGTTTAGGGTTTAGGGTTTAGGGTTTAGGGTTTAGGGTTTAGGGTTTAGGGTTTAGGGTTTAGGGTTTAGGGTTTAGGGTTCTACTAGAATAACCTCCCCCCCCCCCCCCCCCCGAAACGCAAAACTCTATTGCTTTAAGCCCCTGCTGGTACCCCAAACCGCCAGCTCCCAACACCCATGCCCCAGGCTTCTCACAAACGAAACCTGCAAGCAAAGTTTGGGAAGTTTCCCCGTTATACTAACAGTCCTCAACAGGGATCAATCTAGGGGGTACGATCATCCCCATTAAGGACTGTTAGTAGAAGGGGGAACATCCCAACCTATAACCCTGAATCCTGGAACCCTAAACCTTAAACTCGAATTCCTGAACCCTAAACCCTAAACCCGAAACCCTAAACCTTAAACCCTAAACCCTAGACCCCTAAACCCTAAACCCTAAACCCTAAACGCTAAACCCTAAACCCTAAACCCTAACCCGAACCAGCGAGAAATGGGGCCTCCACATTGGACGGGACCGAGAAACGCGGCCTCTCCACGCTGGCCCTGCGGAGCGCCCAGGATCTTTTTGAGGTTGCGTTTAGGGGTTTAGGGGTTTAGGGGTTTAGGGGTTTAGGGGTTTAGGGGTTTAGGGGTTTAGGGGTTTAGGGGTTTAGGGGTTTAGGGGTTTAGGGGTTTAGGGGTTAGGGGTTTAGGGGTTTAGGGGTTTAGGGGTTTAGGGGTTTAGGGGTTTAGGGGTTTAGGGGTTGAGGGGTTGAGGGGTTTAGGGGTTTAGGGTTTTGGGTTGGAGTGGCCAGGAGCTTTTTGAGGTTGGGTTTAGGGTCTTGGGTTGAGGCCTGTGCCAAGTGAATAGAGTTTGGAGGCCACGGCGCCCTTAGGGGTGTCTGAGGGTTGCTTCCGGGCACACAGCAATCCCCTAAACCCTAAACCCTAAACCCTAAACCCTAAACCCTAAACATCTTACAACACCGGCCGCCGGGTTCCCACCCGCAAAAAGAACCCAACGAAATGTCTCGTCTTTTTGGGGACTGAATGAATCCTAAATTGGGGTCATATAATTTACACTACTAACTCATATTCCTTCAGAACCATAAACCCTCAACCCTAAACCCTAAACCCTAAACCCTCAACCCTAAACCCCAACAACCCCTGAAGCCCCGAAGTGCCCCAGGCCCCTCATCTCGGACGCCAAGCCTGGCAACCGACGGCCTTAGGACTGCAGTTTAGGGTTTAGGGTTTAGGGTTTAGGGTTTAGGGTTTAGGGTTTAGGGTTTAGGGTTTAGGGTTTAGGGTTTAGGGTTTAGGGTTTAGGGTTTAGCGCTTGGGGTTACTGTACAGGGTTTAGGATCAAGGGTTTGGGGCTTAGGGTTTAGAATGATAGGGTTTTGGGGTTTCGGGGATGAGGGTTTTGGGGTTTAAGGGCCCCGTAGGTGCCAGAGTTCAGGGATTCAAGGGAGGTCCACACCTTCAAACCTAAACTCTAGAATCATTAACCCCAAAAACTAAACCCTAAGCCCTAAACCCTGAACCCTGAACCCTAAACTCTAAACCCTAAACCCTAAACCCTAAACAGGCTTTCAGTGGTCAGGAGCTTCGGGGCTGGAAAGCGTGTAGGATCTAAGCAGGGGAATTACGTGCCCCAAGCTGGGGCGGAATTCTTCATTCTGACCACCCTAAACCCCAAACCCCAAACCCCAAACCCTAAACCCTAAACCCCAAACCCTAAACCCTAAACCCTAAACCCCAAACCCTAAACTCTAAACCCCAAACCCTAAATCCCAGACAAGACCAGCCGAACTTCCACCTGCAACTCACAGCCCGAGGCACCCGAAACCCCAAACCCTGGAACTCAGGGGAGTCCGGGATTCGGGGCTTGTTGATGTAGACCCTCAACCCTAAACCCTAAACGCTAAACCCTAAACCCTAAACCCTAAACCCTAAACCCTAAACCCTAAACCCTAAACCCTAAACCCTAAACCCTAAACCCTAACCCTAATTGTCTAAACAGCTGACAAGCAGAGCTTAAGTAAATGCATCCACAGCGCCTGGTAGGCCAAATTGCTCAATTGACTTAAGGGCCTTCCCACCAAAAGAGTTTTAGGTGGCCAGCCAGGGCTGGGAGGCCCCAAAAAAGAACAAATTAGGTTCTAAAATAAAAGCTTTCGCTCAAAACTTTCGCTTAAAACTTTCGGTCAAAACATTGGGGCCCAAACCCTGTACAACATCTCCAAACCCTAAACCCTAAACCCTAAGACCCTAAACCCTAAACCCTAAACCCTAAGAACCTAAACCCGAAGCCCTTAAGATCCCGGGCTGAGGGCTCATGGCTCCTCCACCAGGCTAGAACCCAAACCCCGCTCCTTTCCAACTCTCACACCACCCTACTAAACCCTAAACCCCATAGATTCAAGACCCTAACTAAACCCTAAACCCCACACCCTGAACCCTAAACCCCTAAGACCCAAAACCCTAAACCCTAGACCCCAAACCCCATATGCCCTACACCCTTTATGCTGCAACTCCAGCACCCCTCATGTAGGGGCTTGAATAAGTAGAACAGGCGTTTTGGGGGTGACTATCGTATAATTGCAATACCCTAAAACCTAAACCCTAAACCCTAAACCCTAAAAACCTAAACCCTAAACCCTAAACCCTCGACCCTAGACCCTAAACCCTAAACCCTAAACCCTAACTCCCCCACCCCTAGACCTCTTTGGGCGCCAGGCGAGAAGCCGGTGGTGGCATCCAGGTAGGGCCCCTGCGCGCACGAGGGCTTAGGGGGATTTGGGGTTTAGGGTTTGGGGTTTAGGGTTTGGGGTTTGGGGTTTAGGGTTGGGGTTTAGGGCTTAGGGTTTAGGGTTTAGGGTTTGGGGTTTAGGGTTTTGGGGGGTTTGAGGTTTAGGGTTTAGGGCTTAGGGTTTAGGGTTTGGGGTTTAGGGTTTAGGGGGGTTTAGGGGTTTAGGGGGTTTCGGGGGTTTAGGGGGTTTAGGGGGTTTAGGGGGGTTCGGGGGTTTAGGGGGTTGGGGGTTTAGGGGTTTAGGGGGTTTAGGGGTTTAGGGGGTTTAGGGGGTTTAGGGGGTTTAGGGGGTTTAGGGAATTAGGAGGTTTAGGGGGTTTAGGGGGTTTAGGGGGTTTAGGGGGTTTAGGGGGTTTAGGGGGTTTAGGGGGTTAGGGGGTTTAGGGGGTTTAGGGGGTTTAGGGGGTTTAGGGGGTTTAGGGGGTTTAGGGGGTTTAGGGGGTTTAGGGGGTTTAGGGTTTGGGGTTTAGGGTTTAGGGTTTAGGGTCAGGGGCTGGGGGGCGGGGGGGGGGGGTCACGAGCCACCCCAGGCATACGATCTGGGGTCGAGTGTGCGCTACACCTATAAGGTTCGAGTAAGGCCAAAACCCTCCAGCTTTTGGATTTGTAGGGTTTAGGGTTTAGGGCTTAGGGCTTAGGGCTTAGGGCTTAGGGCTTAGGGCTTAGGGCTTAGGGCTTAGGGCTTAGGGCTTAGGGCTTAGGGCTTAGGGCTTAGGGCTCCAAATTGCTCCAGCAGCGCAACGACACCTCCCCACTGCAGAAGTCCGGCACCGCTGTCAGGGAGATTAAAGGTTTAGGGTTCAGGGTTCAGGGTTCAGGGTTCAGGGTTTAGGGTTTAGGGTTTAGGGTTTAGGGTTCAGGGTTCAGGGTTCATCGTTAGGATAACTTCCTTGCTTCTTTCCTTACATACAGCATTACGCAAGCTTGCTGCCTCATTTTGGCACCTTACGTTAAGGGTTCCCATCGTAGGGAGACATACGGAATACTACTGTCTTATGGGGTTGCGTACTGCTTCACCTACTGGCTCCTAGTAGGGAATGAGGGAAGTAGGTACCTTACATCGCCTTGTGTGTATATATATATATATTACATCGCCTATATATATATATATGCATATATATGTATATACATATATGTACATATATGTATCGGTACATATCCTGTAAGGGATTATCATGTTCTACTCTACTTAGTAGGGGCCTCCTGAATAAAGTCAATTTCCCAGGCTGGTCAGGACACCCTGACTGTTTGGGGGGGTCCGCAATAAAGTCAAATCGTCCGGGTGTCGTAAGAAAAGTCCCGTGGACTGCTATAACCAAGGCGAAAACCAGCTTCGACTGTCCTTAAGGGGAGGGGGAGGGCCACACACTAAACAGGGTGCAACAATATAGGGTACGTCATGCCCTCGTTCCTTACGAAGAACCCGCAGGTCTAAGCTCCAGCAGCCCAGAAGAGAGGGCCGGTGCCTTGGAGACTCGCGTCTGCACTTGATGCCTGGGCCAATGCCGGCTTGGGCTTTTTTTTCGCTCTGGGCCTTGAGCCCTAAACCCTGAACCCTATAGGGTTTAGGGTTTAGGGTTTAGGGCTCGGGGCTTAGGGTTTAGGGTTTAGGGTTTAGGGTTCAGGGTTTATGTACCCCAAACCCCAAGCTCCACACTGCACTTAGGGCCTTCTGAACCATGTAATGCCGATCCGGGGCTTGGCGAGGTTGTGTACTCGACAGGCGCTGGTGGCCCTTCCTGGAAGAAGGCAGAATCAGGGAGCCTTGTAAAGACACCCTAAAGTCATGGGCTTCCCTACTACCCCCCCTCACCCCTTAAATAACCTTTTTTAAGCTCAATTATCCCTAAAGAACCTTAATTATGGGGGGAACCCAGGGGGGGGTAGTATAGCGGGGGGTAGTAGGGGAACCCATGATTCAAAAACACCCTGGAGCTCCCGGCGCCTTCCTTCTATTGAGGGCGGCGCGAAGGAACTCTGGGGGGTTTAAAATGACACGACACCATCCCTACTTCTGAGGGCGGCGCGAACAGAAAACAGCCTAAGTGTCTTCAAGTGTTGCAGGCAAGCCCAGTGGCCCCCGACGAGTGAGTACTATAGCCCGTCCGGAATGGCCATCTCACAACAGCGCGACGCTGTTTGGGAAGTTGGGTCTCCCCACAGAGATTCCGCGCCGGGCCGGCTCGAAGCTCAGACGAACTTGGCGATGAGATCTGCATTTTGGGAGATGTCCTTGAGCTTCTCACGCAGCAGCTTCATCGTGATCTGCACACCCTTCTCTGCAATGGGCTTCATCTTGACGCTCGAATTAAGCGTCTTCCGTCCAGGCTTCTCCTCTTGCGATTCAAGTAGATAGTCGTTGACCTCGTTGACGCAATTGAAGAACCACTCCTTCACCTCCGAGCCATCTGCTTCAACGGCCTGGAAGTAGTCATCCCACAGTGTGACAACAACTCGGATGTTTGCGCCGTGGTTGGCGGCTCCGGGCTTCAAAGCCTCGAAAAGGCTTCCCATGGTTTTGCCCCGCTTATGGAGCTGGCCTTCCGCAGCACTGGACGCACACGCCCCCAGCAGGGCGAAAGATTGGCAGAACTGATGCGAGCCGGATTTCTGGTGGTCCCGGGTGTAGGAGTTGTACTTCTCCTCGCCTTTGTGCATGTACACCCAGTGGCCGGCATCACCCCCCCTGAACTCCAAGACGTGCCCGTCTGAAGGAATCTTCTTGGGCTTCTCTTCCTCAGCGTGCTCCGAAACGAAGTCCTTGTCCTCAGGCTGCCCAGTAGCTGAGGAACAACCTCGCCTAAAGGGGGTTCAAAGCTTCTGGCAGAGTTCTAAGCCCTCTAAACCGCAAAAAAAGGGAATGGTCGTGGTACTAGTGGGCATCCTGGTATCCCCCTTGTGTTGCAGATAGATGTGTGGGATGTCCAGCTTTGCGTTCTGACGGCGCAGCACCGAATGGACGTCGAGCATGATGTGCATGTCTCCCGCGAGCCGCAGGAGCCAATGCACCTGGTCCCCTAAACCCTAAACCCTAAACCCTAAACCCTAAACCCTAAACCCTAAACCCTAAACCCTAAACCCTAAACCCTAAACCCTGAACCCAAAACCGCAATGCACCTTGTCCCTCAAGTCTTCGAGCTCCTGCAAGTTCAGGCCAGGAGCACTTGACATGGTGTGCCGAAGAGGAGCTACCTTAAACCCTAAACCCTAAACCCTGAACCTTGAACCCTGAACCCGAAACCCGAAACCCTAAAACCCTAAACCCTAAACCTAGGGTGCTTAAGTCTAGGATTCTAGGGTTTCGGTGTCCTGCAGTTGGCCCTAAACAAGCAACTGGCTCGGGCCCAGCGGCACACAGCAAGCAGCTAGGAGAAGTCTACGCGTAGACATATGTCACATCCAAGACCGCAACATCCAACGGAAATGCATGTCGCTTCAACGTCGAGACGCTCTTCGCCCGAAGTTAAGTTGTAAAGAAGTCGACAATTATTAAACTTGCAAGCCTGTGAGAGGAAAATCAACACCTCACTCATTGGATAGCCTCTCAACAGATTCTGTGGGTTTGCGGGCCGCAAGAAATTGCTTTCTGCTTCGTTCTCTTCAACAGGGCAAGTACGACATATAGATTTGGCAAGATTGTCGGGGACACACTGAACCATGAACCGTAAAGTCACAAGCAGGGGTAACGCTCCTTCTTTTGGCTCGAGTCTGCTGCTATGAACTGAACAACACAAGGCAAATGACTTGGTTTGCTGGCATCATGACTTGAGTGGACGAGGTACTGGGCACTACTGCATGTAGGACAGTACATAGGTGGCTGTGCGATCTGCGAAACCACCCGGAGCTAACGATTACACCCCCAAAAGCCCCAGAACATCCAAAGCGACCCGACTCAACCCTAAACCCTAAACCCTAAACCCTAACCCAAAACCGGAAAACCCTAAACCCCAAACCCCAAACCCCAAACCCTAAACCCTAAACCCTAAACCCTAACCCTAAACCCTAAACCCTAAACCCTAACCGGAAAGTCCCAGCCCTGGAGAATCCGAGCGCCCCACGGCGCGTCGAACCGCTGTGGGGCGGCCATGGGCGTGGCAGCAGGATGCGCAAGGCTCTACGGCCTCTACGCCTTCAGAACCCTAAACCCTAAACCCTAAACCCTAAACGCTAAACCCCAAAACCGGCTACCTGGGTTGCTGATACAAGTTCAGCAAATGCATCCTACGAATCTTTGCAGGGTGTTCATCGGAAAAAAGCCGACCCCAAGTAAGGCGGCCGGGTTCTGAAGGGCGTTTAGGTGTTTGGGGCGCAGGAAAATGGGGGTTCAACCCTGAACCCCAAAGCCCTAAACCTAAACCCCCAAACCCTAAACCCCAAACCCTAAACCCTAAACCCCATTATTTTAGGGTGCAAGGCTTTGGGAAGGCTACAACTGGGTCGTCTTCTCAGGGTTTCGGGGTTTGGGGGCGCGCTCCTTGGCAAGCAAAGAGCTGCGGATCTCCGGCTTCGGGTTTAGGGTTTAGGGTTTTGGGGTCTGGGGTTTAGGGTTTGGGGGTTAGGGTTTAGGGCTTGGGGTTTGGGGTATGGGGTTTGGGGTTTAGGGTTTGGGGTTTAGGGTTTGGGGTTTGGGGTTTGGGGTTTAGGGTTTGGGGGAGTGGGGTTTGGGGTTTAGGGTTTAGGGTTTAGGGTTTAGGATTTAGGGTTTAGGGTTCAAGGCCTAGTGAGGGTTTTTAGGGGTTTCCCTTCCAAGCCCAGACCTCCTGGCCTCAAAGCCCTAAGCCTTCCCTAAAACTTTTAAACCCTGAACCTAAGCCTCGATAAGCCCTTGAAGCCCTACTTGGAGGTTCAAGGTACTTATTAACCAATTATAACTGTACTTCTAACTGTACTTATAACTGTACTTATAACTGTACTTATAACTGTACTTATAACTGTACTTATAACTGTACTTATAACTGTACTTATAACTGTACTTAGAACCATATTAGGGCACTTAAGGGGCTTGTAAGTGTGTTATAGGTACAGTTATACTCGGTTAATAAGTACCATGAACCTCCAAGTATATCATGCCATGCCCACAAAAGTCCCAAACCCCTACCTCAGCCGCTAAACCCCCTTAGGCCCCCTCAAACCCTAAACCCTAAACCCTAAACCCTAAACCCTAAACCCTAAACCCTAAACCCTAAACCCTAAACCCCAACATGGCCCCAAACCTCTCGCTCCCAGTTCTGACGTGACGCCGCCCGACAAGAGTACTTAGGAATGTGTTGAGGGGCGCAGGGGTGTCGGGAGAGGAGGGTTTTAGGGGTTTAGGATTTAGGGTTTAGGGTTTGGGGTTTAGGGTTTAGACATACACGCCTTCAATACTCAGATCCCTTGAGAGGATCCTACTTTTTGGATCCTTCTAGGGGTCTGGTGAGTAGGCATTGGCAAGATCATGCGAACGTCTATCCTCAAACCTCTTCGCAGAGGACGTCTGTTTTGGCTCCCATGCAGCAGCATTCGTCAATGGCTAGGATCTTTTTGAGGTTGGGTTTAGGGTCTAGGGTTTAAGGTCTAGGGTCTAGGGTTTAAGGTCTAGGGTTTAGGGTTAGAGTTCATGGTTTAGGGCTTCGGGTTTCGGATTTCGGGTTCATGAATAGAAGTACGACGGATTGCTGAAGGACTGGATAAGGTTATATGAAGCTGTCCCAGATATCCCCTGAGCCCTTAATGGCCAAAAACAAGAAGGCACCTCGAATGTCATAAATGCCCAAAACCATTCATCTTCCACAATACGGTCATTGTGATGTATAGGACGCCTTCATACGATCTCCGATTAACGACGGGCACTGTGCGCGGGCCACAATCCCAACCCTGAACCCTAAACCCTAAACCCTGAACCCTAAACCCTAAACCCTACAGTAACCCTAAACCCTAAACCATAAACCCTAAACCCTGAATCCTGGCAGCCATCGTTTGCTGCGCTTCGCGGCCGGGAGCCTTGAGCTGTTTCGGCTGAGGGGTTTAGCTTTTAGGGTTTAGGGTTTAGGGTTTAAGGTTTAGGGTTAGGGTTTAGGGTTTAGGGTTTAGGGTTTAGGGTTTAGGGTTTAGGGTTTAGGGTTTAGGGTTTAGGGTTTAGGGTTTAGGGTTTAGGGTTTAGGGTTTAGGGTTTAGGGTTTAGGGTTTAGGGTTTAGGGTTTAGTGTTTCGGGTTTAGGGTTTAGGGTTTAGGGTTTAGGGTTTAGGGTTTAGGGTTTAGGGTTTAGGGTTTAGGGTTTAGGGTTTAGGGTTTAGGGTTTAGGGTTTAGGGTTTAGGGTTTAGGGTGTATAGAAGGGAAGCTCGCTGGTGCTAAAAGCACCCGGGCCGCTCGCTTGCGTTAGCATGTAGTCCCACCCCAACCACCCAAACCATTCTCATTTAGGGTTTAGGGCTCACCCCCCAAACCCCCCTCAAGGGGGGCTTTCTTGCTTTTGACAGAGAAAGAGCAGGGTGGGGCCTCCCGAGCTTTGTGGAGCCTGTCAGCGGCTCGTAGGCTTCTTGGAGCTTTCACGGAACTGGAGGGGTGCCCAAAACCGTCAAATGCAAGACAAAAAAACCCACATTTTCAGTGCGGGTCAGGTTGCAGCGCTCGAGTTCAGGTTCAGATGGCGGTCACAGGGGGTTTTCAGGCCAGGGAGGTCCAGGAAAGTCCCAGGCAGGGGGGTCCCTAGGAGAGTCCCAAAACGGAGGCGGTCCCAGATTCCCAGAGGGGGGTCCCAGGGGGGTCCCTGGGCAGTCCCAGGGGTGTTAGAATACACTGTTCCCTCTAGAGCCCTGGCAGTATCCACTGCCTGATCTGACCAAAGCTGTCGTCACTGCTTTGGCTCAAGGTTCAAGTGCTGAAACAAGTGTGACTGATGAATTGCTCACTGCTGTGAATGTTGTGATACCTGAAAGTGTATCCCAAACTGCTCCATTGAACTTTTCATGGTAGCGGAGCACACTGGTGAGAACCAGGTGCCCGAAACTGTTTGAATGGCTTCACTAGGTTCTGCCCCTGAACTAAGAGGTCTCGGAGGTGAAGTGAAACTGTTTCCCCCACCGTCATTTGATGGGTCACTGGATAAGTATGAGGATTGGAGCTGGCAAATGAAGAAGTACATAGGACTGTACAAGCCCGAAGCAAAGCTGCTCATGGATGCATGCGAGGTTCTAACTGAAGCTGTCATAGACGAACATGTGATCGACTGGAATCGAAGAACCGATGCGAGTCGAGACATGAAACTGATCGAGTTCAGTCGTCAACTGCTTTATCTGTTGGCACAGTTAACCGAGGGAGCTGCGAGAGCGACTGTCAGACAAGAAGACACTGAGAATGGCTTCGAGGTATGGCGAAGACTGCATCAGCAGTTTTCACTGCCTAACCGGTCCCAAGGACTGAATCTCCTCACCGAGATTCTGGATTTCAAACTGAGGCCTGACAACTTCGAAAATGATCTGGCTGATTTCATTGTACTGAAGAATCGCCATGAGAAGGCGACTGTTGCCTTGGTTCAGGATGATTTACTGATCACGTTGTTCATTCGCAAGACGCAAGGAGCACTGCAACAGCATCTCAGACTGAATGTCTCGCAGATACACACATGGAAAGATTTACTGGCAACGATTCAGTCATACTACAAGAGTAGGCACTTAGTTTCAAGTACTGCAGGTACTGCAAGGAATGATGGTCCAGTGCCGATGGATATCGGAGCACTGAAAGGTTGGTACAAAGGAAACTGGAAAGGAAAAGGAAAGAAAGGAAACTGGAAAGGAAAAGGAAAGGGCAAAGGCAAAGGAAAGAAAGGTTTCGGAACTGCGAAAGGATGGAAAGGAAAAGGAAGTGACAAAGGAAACTGGAAAGGAAAAGGAAAAGGAAAGAGCAAAGGAAAAAGGAAAAGGAAAAGGAAAAGGAAATGGAAACGGATGTTTTATTTGTGGCTCGCAGGGCCACTGGAGCAAAGAATGCCCTCAAGCGAAAAATGTAGGAGCTGTCACTGAAGAATGGAATGAAGAAGAATGGAACGAAGAAGAGTGGAACGCCGACTGGAATGAGTACGAATGGTATGTTGGCGCAATAGGTGAGTATGAAGACTGGTGCTCATGGGATGAAGGCTGGTATGATGACTGGTCTGAAGGATCCTACTGGCAAGACGAATGGCAAGGACACT